AAGGATTTATTAAATGCCTCTGTGCCATGTGCTTTTAAAAATATTTTCTCTTTTGATCCTCACAACAACTCTGGAGCTAGGTGGTATTCTTATCCTCATTGAGGCAGAGAGTGGTGAAGTGACTTACTCAGGGTCACAGAGCTAGTGAACTACTGAGGCTAGATTAGAACCCAGATTTTCCTGACTCCAGGCCCAGCCCTCTTCCTACTGCACCCACTACCTGCTAGGTGGCAAAGTAGGGTTTGGCATTTATTTAACTGTCTCAAACAAAATAAGTTTAATAGAGATAAATGTAAAGTCCTACACTTAGATTTGACTGTAAAAGCCTTCTAGAGAGTCACAAGTAAACAGCAGTTAATATGAAAAACACCTGGGGGTTTGCTTTGAAGGCTAGCTCAATGTAAGTCAACAATGCAAAGTTGGTGACCCAAAGGCCAGTGTCACCTTAAGTTATAGTTAAGGAGGGGGTGAGAATTTCAGAAGGTAAGAGCCTGACCCTACTAGTCACAGCACTTCTGGAGCATCTAGTTCTAGTACGGGCACAACACTTGGGAAGGACATTTTCTAAAGCTGGAGTGCATCTAGATTAGGGCAACTGGATTCATAATGATATTGGAAACAATGTTATATGAAACGTGCCTGGAGAAAGTACAGATGCATGTAGCCTGGAAAAGAAAATACTTAGAAGGGAATCGATTCCCGCCTTCAAATATGTGAAGGGTTGTCATATGGGAATATCAGTATTACTGTGTGAGAGTCCAAAGGGCAAAGTAAGAGCCAGTAGATGGAAGCTACAGGGAGTGAGGTTCCAGTCCAATATGCAGAATAACTTTTCTAACTATTAGAGCTATCAGGAAAGAGAATCAACTGCCTTAGGCACTTAATAAATGTCTGTGCTCTTGTTGACTTAGGCTGGGAGAGGTTGAACAAAGGCTGAATGAGCACCTGTCCTGGTCCAGTGGGGCTGCTTTTGATACTTGGGCAGCCTGGCCTTTGATGCCAAAAGCAGGAGGCCTTTGTTTTAGCTCATACACAAGGGAAGGCTTGGAGTGTAAGAGAATGCCCAGGAGTGGGAGCACAGAACAAGGAGGCAGAGACAAGAAGATTCCAGACCTGACGTGCAGTAGTCATGGCAGGATGAAAAAGGGAGTTCATAGTTCTGCAGAGAAGATTATTGCTTGGTCTTCATGCTCCCAACCTGGTCATGCCTCTTAAACAGTGGGAGAGATGGCTGGGGTCCTGTCTCCTCTATCAGAGAAGGGGCCCAAAGCCCACCCTTGTTGGGACTGGAGTCCTGCATGACTAAGGTGCCCACCCTGGTGCTGGGAACCAGAAGAATCAGTCCTAACACAAGGATAGTGGGCTATAACTCTAGGGCAGTGGACAACAGGCCATACATATTTCTGGCTATGCATTCATACTCAGAGAAAGCTCACAGGCTGAGAGCGCTGGAACAACCTCTCTCTGGGTCAGCAACGAAACAGGTAAAAAGTAGGGGATTTGTAAATAGTGACAGGGGTTCCTAATGCTACCACCTCTGATTGGTTTTCCACCCCCAGTGCCACAGGAAGGGAGCCACCCAATTAGCAAGGTTGCAAGGGGGTATATAAGTTTCTGGCACAGAGGATGAGATGTGACAGTTGTCTTTGCTTGTTAAATTTTAAACGTGAGCATTTGTACCTCGCAAATCGTCTGTGGCTACAAATCAGAACTTGATTTATTGTTTCGTTGATTGTCTAGACTGAACAAGGTGATGGAGAAAATGTTAATGATGTCGATTAAATTTAAAAGTGTGTTCTGCACTCATATTTTTTCCTCCCCTTTAGAGAACCAGTCATTAACCATTTCAGCACATCCCTGGCTGTGACCCACCTTCACATGCTCTGATTAGTTGACCCTTTGGTGTCCAGCCATGACCTCCGTTTTTGGAAACTCACTGTTACAGAAACATATTCATTTTGACACAGATTGAGAATTGTGAAGAATAGAAATCCCCTACTGTATCCTCTCTTCTTTACATTCCCAAGATAGCCATGTGGCCTGAGGCATGAGAGCTCTTGGGTTTGATTCCCAGAATTCCTGAGGTCCTGGAGGGCAGTTTAATGACAAGGCAGGTCACCAGCAAAACTTCCATTGGAAATTTTCTCTAAGCCAAGTAGCTGATTTTTTTTTCCTTTAGTGAGAGATTGTTTGCTTTTAATGCCAAAGTGTTATATTTCTGAAACTCAGCCATAGTAGAGCAGTCTCCAGAGATCTCTGAATCAGGGAGAATGGCTGTATCCATACAAAGCCTGTCATCAGCTTAGCTGAAAATACGCTTTGTCCAGCAATGTATAGATTAACCTTGGCTTCACCTCAACCACTGGTACATGCTTTCAGAATCTCTATGTCAAAAAGTATGCCAGCTCACGCTCATAGCTCTCTTATTGGTTTTAAATCTAGGTCTCTGTCTTTGGAGCCTTAAAAAATGATACATAAAAAACTCCAAGCAAAGTAGTTCTATGTGGGTAGCAACCTGACAAACTAAATCTGCCTTCTTGTGAGGGAAATATATAGCCCATATGTAGGCGCTTAGCACATTGTGGATGACTGGTAATAATACAGGACAGCTAGGTGGTGCAGTAGATAGAGCATTGGGCTAGGAATCAGGAAGACTCCTCTTCCAGAGTTCAAATCTGGCTACAGACATTGTGTGACCCTGGGCAAGTCACTTTACCCTGTTTGCCAGTTGAGGCAAACATCTGTGAAATGAGTAAAATGAGCTGGAGAAGGAAATAGCAAACCATTCCAGTATCTTTACTGAGAAAGCCCCAAATGGGGTCACTGAGAGTTGGACGTGACTTAAACAATTCAATAACAAAAGTAGTAACACCAGCCACTCAGCAAGTCTTTAATCCCCAAGTCAGAGTCATAAATTGGGACTCTTGTTAACATTGGAATGACAGGGGCCATGTAGCCCTAGTGACTTTATAAATGCGCCCACCTCCCAAGCCAGCATAAAAGCCCCAAGTTTTCTTCTTCAGTGTCTTTGTAAAGTGCTTAGCACAGTTCCTAGCACGTATTAGGAGCTTAATAAGTAAATGCTTGTTTCTTCCCCTACTGTGTTCTGTGACTCCTAAAGCTAGTAGAGGCAGCCTGCAGAGTAAAAGCCCCAGAGTAAAAGCCCCAGAGGATTGTTGGCCTTGGCTGTTGGGGCCATTCCCCTTTTCCCTTTCTGGACTTCAGTGTGTTTCTCCACCCATCATCATCACCAGCCATCTTTGAGCTGCTTCCTAACTTGTCTGTCTCTGGTTATGATTTGGCTTGCTGTTGTCAGGTTATGTAAAGGCAAGGAGGCCATTTTATCATTCTAAAAATAAGTTATGTCCTGTTTTATTATTGAGGGAAAATGCCTTAGAGAAATGCACACAGACAGATGGCTTTGTCACAGAAGAAATTTGTGACCTGAACTTTCTGAGGACAACTCTATGGCCATTCAAACCTTCCCCCTAGGCAGGGGGGAAAAAATGAGCCAGGCCGGGCAGCCTGAGGCCATTTTGACTTTACCTGTTATATAAACAGCCTCTCAAACTTCTCTTTAAAAGCCTTATTGAACTAAAGGATCTGGAGATTTCCCTTTCCCCATTTGCAGTAAACCAAGCTAGCCTACCCCAGATGGTAGGCCACCAGGGAAGCTCACTGAGACGGTGGGAAGGGGAAGCTTTGAGTTGCGATCCTCAGGCACTGTCTAGACCTAGGGTAGGAGGATGCCCTTCTTTCTTTTGATTTGGGTGACCTGCTATAGATAGCTGCTTCTCTGTCCCCCTGGTTGTGAGGACTTAGTTAGCTCCTTAATTGCATAACTGGGGACTAGAAAACCCAGACAGGACTCTATCTGTCCCCTTTCACCCTTTTCCCCCCTTCCCCAAATTGGAAAGGAGAATGAACTTTACTTAGCTTGTGACACCATTTGCTTGGACTGTACCCTTTTTCTTAATGAACATGCTTTCTGTTTGGCCTGACTTTCATTCTGATACTAATTGGCTTTGTAACTTTGGGTAAATCTCTACCCTTCCCTTCCCCCCCCCCACCCCAACCCCATGTCAGTTTGTTTGTTTGTTTGCTTTTAACATTAATTGACTACTAGGTGGTGTAATGGATGGAGTGAAGGAGATGGAGTCAGGAAGACTCATTTTCTTGAGTTCAAATCTGGTTTCAGGCCCTTACTAGCTGTGTGACCCTGGGCAAGTAGCTTTTTGCCTCAGTTTCCTCATCTGTAAAAAAGAGCTGGAAAAGGAAATAGCAAACTGCTCCAGTATCTTTGTCAAGAAAACCCCAGATGGATTCATGAAGAGTCATGCAGGACTGAAAATGACAGAATAATAAATATGCCAGATGCTGGAGCAAGCACTTTGCAAATAATATCTCATTTGATCCTCAGAACAAGGCAGAGCTGTTATTTGACCCATTTTACATTTGAGGAAACTGAGGCAGGCAGTGGTTAAGTGACTTGCCCAGGGTGACATAGCTAGTAAATAAGTGTCTGAAGTTCAGATTTGAACTCAGGTCTTCTTGCCCAGTGCTCTATGCACTGTACCAGTTAGCCGCCTCGGTTTCTCATAAAATGAGGGAGTTAGACTAAATTATCTCTTAAGTCTGTATCAACTCTAACATTCCATGAGTGATTTGGATTTCCTTTCTTTGACGAGGTAATCCAACTTCTCTCCAATCCATTCACCTACAAATAAATTATTCTGTCTCTTCACCCACAGATCAGCAGGAAAAAGTTGACCACTAGCTGAGGGTCAGTCACTAATTCTCTTTTTTCCCCCAACTCTGTTATGTTCCATTCCTTGTGGAACATGTGGGGAAGTAACTGCTTCAGCCTCACCTTCCTTCTTTTTCTCCTGGTGTGGCCTTATCTGGCTTTATCTTCAGTGTGTCTGCTAGAGGTTTCTGTATTAGAGATTTGACTGTCATCTTCTCCATAATTAACTTCTCTCCGATTCTTTTCCTTGTAGGATATTCTACGTCTCTCATGATTCTCAGGATCTAAAGATCTTTAGCTACATTGCCAGAGATGGTTCCAGCAACATCTTCAGGTGTAATGTCTTTAAGTCCAAGAAGAAGGTAAAGGGGGAGGGGAGGGGCTAGTATTCTAATTAGTTTTTTTAATTATTAGTTTTGTCCTGTGTGTTCAGGGCAAGCCTAGTCTCACACTGCCTTATTTCATTATTGGTGGCTCCCAAGATTTAAAGGTGGGCTATCAGACACATCAGAAATACCTCTTGAATATTTCCCGTTTGACTTGCCTCGCATTACCCAAGATACCTTCAGTTCAGTCTGGATTGTGAAGAGTGGTGTGACTTAATGAGAAAGCCCTAGATTTGAAGGAGTCCCTGGGTTGAATCCTGGCTCTGCTCCATTCTACATGGGTCACTGTGGGCTAGATTACATAGCAAACCTAGGCCTCATTTTTCTCACCTGTAACAGTAGTGTTTTGGGGTCATTGGTCATTAGTTCTAAATCCTATGTTCTAGGATTTAGAACTAATGACCAATGACCCCAAAACACTACTGTTCTATCCTGCCCACAAACAGGGGTGGACTGGAGCTCAAAGAGAAGGGAGAGGAATTAACATTTGTTAATATGCCTACTGTATGCAGGCATTCTGTTAAGTGCTTTACAAATAGCTCATTTGATTCTCGTAACAACCCTGCAGAGTACTTGCTGTTATCAACCTCATTTTACAGTTCAGGAAACTGAGGCAGACAGGTTAATTAACTTATCCTATTGTTTAGTCATTTTTTTCAGGTATATTTTACTCTTCATGACCCCATTTGGGGGTTTTCTTGGCAAAGATTCTAGAGTGGTTTGCCATTGCCTTCTCTAGCTCATTTTACAAATGAGGAAACTGAGGCAAAGAGGGTTAAGTGACTTGCCCAGGGTCACACAGCTAGTAAATGTCTGAGGCCACATTTGAATTCAGAACTTCCTGACTCCAGGCTCTATCCATTGTGCCTCTTAGCTTCTAGTTGTTAAATTTTCAGTGTATTTACACCTTAGAAATTCAGCAAATACTACAAATTAAGGCTTGATTTATTCCTTTATTGATTGTCTAGACTTCAGAAATGATGGAGAAAAATGTTAATTATGCAGATCAAACTTAAAAGGGTGTCATGCATACGTGATTCCCCCCCCCTTTGGAGAGCTATTTGCTTATTAAATAATTACCAATTCAACCCTGAAGAGGGAGGTTTAGTAGTGCTACAGACTGTAAAAAAAGACTGCATTGGGAACAGGTGAAAGAATGAGGCTGGGATGAGTTTTAAGAGCTGTTTCCTGAGGTAACATTTCAACCTTGTTCTGTGATTTGAACCCAGGGCTTGGGGTCAGGGTATGTGGCCTTTACAGCCATGCCTGCTAGTGTCTAACAGTAACTGAAACACAGAATACTCAGGCTGGTTGAATTTAGGCACCTCATATGTAACTTCAGGCAAGTCAGTTACCCTCTCTTCCTGAATAATTTCTTTTGGCTGGGAATCTCCACATTCCAATAAGTGACAGCTTTCAAAGGTCCACAGAGCTATTCTTGCCTACCTGTGAATCATCCAGCTTAAAAATAAAGTTTAAAAACGTTCAGGAAACAACTCTGTTGGCTAGGTACCTGAACCAGCCTAGGATTTAGAAGATGGGGGTTCCAATCCTGGCCTGGGTGACTGACCTTAAATGAATCACTTCATCTCTCTTAGCTTGTTTCCTCATTTGTGAAATGACAAGGTGAGATTCAATTCTCTCCAGTTCTGATATTATGAGTCTAACCATTAACTATTTTTCCTCCCTTGGTGATCGCAACCCTCTCCCCCAGCTGTGATGGGATGAAGCATCCTGCTTGGTAGTTACTTCTTTCACGGCTTTATCGATTAATCCTGCTGGGTGGGGCAGGGCAGGCACACCACTAAGGGCAAACAATTTTGTGACTACCTGTCCTGCCTCACAAATATTGTGCAGTGCTAAAAGAAAAAAGGGAGGGTGGGGGCAGGGTGTATTCCCTTTTTATCAGGTAATAGCGAAGTCTTTGAAAGTTGCCCACCTCACGTTTTGATCTTGGAGGCCAGCCCAAAATATACAATTCATTTTACTCCCAAAACAGCCCTCTGTTTCCCCTCTCAATTGGTTGTCTGTCATAAAGCACTGGGGCCAATCAGTCCTGCTCTGTGTGAGTTCCTCTTCCTTCACCCGTACCTTAATGAGGTCCTAATTCTTCATGGAGTTGGCTTTCCCAGCCCTGCCTGGCCAGTGGCCATGCATTCGAGTGAATTGTTTGTAGCCTAGACAGAGAGCTTTGTCTCAGAGCCCTCGTGATGGCGGTGAGGACCCGGTGTCCACGCAGGGAAAGAGAAATAAATTAAGCAAAGGAAGCAAGGTCAGGGAGGGGTGGGGAGCGAGCTTCCGAATATTCATTTTTAAGGTGCTGTTGGTGAGGGGAGCTTACCCCTTGGGAGAGACAAAAATACCAAGTGAGGGAAGGACTGTGGGCCATGAAGATGAGGAAATGGCCTAGGGGAGGTACAGGCCTTAGGAGAAATGTGTCACCCAGGGGTGGCTCTGCAGAATGACTGTAGGCTGCAGGTAGAACTTTGGACTGGATTTCTTCTCTAGCTCCAGCACAGAGAATGTTCAAGTAAAACCCAGTTGTACAATGCCTATTAGGAGGCATGTAATGGATTTGCTTATACTCTAAGTCTTACCCTAGTGGAAATCCCTTAAATGTGTTTAGTGGTCTTATTCCCCAATACCAGGGGTGTGTGGCTTTGTAGCAGGTAGAATATCTGCAGCTGATGTGACGTTATCATATCTTGGATTGGAGCCCGTTGTTTGCTGTTCACTTCTCAGTCACGTCTCATTCTTCATGACCCCATTTGGGATTTTCTTGGCAGAGACGCTGGAGTGGTTTGCCATTTCCTTCTTTGGCTCATTTTACCGATGAGGAAGCTGAGGCAAAAAGGGGTTAAGTGACTTGCTCAGGGTCATACAACTAGTAGGTGTCTGAGGACAGATTTGAACTGAGGTCTTCCTGACCCTAGACCAGGGCTTTATCCAGTGAGCCTCCTAGTGGCCCTATGGGGCTCGATGTGGAGCCCACTGATCCTCTGAAAAGCAGAAATCACCCTAACATTTGTTGTCTTGTTTTCTCATACCTGCTTTTAAAGAAGATACAAGTTCCTCTTATTAGGAGTGTGGGAGATGGGAGGCACAGAGGACTTAAGAAAAGTGCCTCGTGGGATGCAGTGGATGGGTGGGCGTCCCCTTCTTGGATAAGAATCCAAGTCTTTTCCAGTCCTGTGCTTTTAAGACTAGATTATACTGCTAGATCCTCTTACAAAAAGGCTCGTAAGGTCTCTGCATCCCGGTTTTTCCAGCTACAAAATAGACAATCAATAAGCATTTATCAAGTGTTTACTGTGTACCAGGCACTGTACTAATCAGTGGGGTACAAAGAAAGGCAAAAACGTGGTACCTGCCTTCAAGGGGCTCACCGTCTAAAGGAGGAGACAATACACATAAAAACAAAATTGTTACAGTGAAAATGGAATGTAACCTCAGTGGGAAGGTACTTGGGGGAAGGGAAGAATTGGAAAAAACTTGGCAAGAGTGAATTGTAGGGGCAGCTAGGTGGCTCAGTGGATAGAGCACCAGCCTTGGAGTCAGGAGGACCTGACTTCAAATCTGCCTTCAGACCAAACACTTGACACTTACTAGCTGTATGACCCTGGGCAAGTCACTTAACCCCAATTGCTGAAAAAATAAAAAAAAAGAATGAATTGTGAAAGAGGTTAGAAATGGTTGCCTTGTTTATAATGTTCCCTTTTCTTATTGTATATTTAAGTTTTAGTATTTAGGTCTAAAATTAAAAAAAAAAAGGAATGATCTTTCCCCACCTCCACCCCTTTTTTTATAGGTAAGAGAATGAGCCAAGAAAATTTCAGTGACTTGCCCAAGGTCACAAGGCGCATAGTGAGGATTTGAACACAGATCCTCCTACAAAACCCTGGGCTATTTCCATTTTACCCTGCTGACTTTGTGTTGTTTAAAATGCATCCATTCATTAGGGATTGTGTTCTGCTGAACTGTTCAGACACCAAGGCTGACCTCGGTGCAGCCTCCTTAGAAGTGACCAGTGTTGGAAAGACAGGGTAGGTGGGATTCCTTCATGAGCACAGCAGAAGCCCGTGATGGGGTGAGCACCTGACAGGTTCTCTCTGACCCTGAGATCCCAAAGTTGGGGGTACTTGCTGCCTCAGATTACACTGCCTCTGTGAGTCTGTGGAACCTGAGCTGTGTGTGACTCCTGTCACTCAGCCCTGAGTGGAAGGTGCCCTCCCGTCACTCTGCTCCCGGCTCACCGAAGGTGCAGCAGCCATCTGCCCTGATTAAGAGGGGCTGTCATTTCCTGCTTATCAGAGCATCAGTGCGTGAAGTGTTGGTGATTAATAACAGCCATTATAATCTCTTCTATTATCTGCATGGGCAGCTCCTTGAAATAATTTGGCCTGCAATCAGGACTCAATTGGTTTGGGTGGGGAGAGCTCATTTCCTCTGGTGATGCTTTTCCTGCTAGATTGGGAGGTGGGAGGGAGCTGAAGCAGCTGGGTGGTTGCTGAGCTGGCTTTAAGTTGGCAGTGGATTTTTAGCGATAATGATTATTCTACTAAGGGATTAATCACCTGCCTGTTAGGGCCTAAGAGAGAGAAGCTGGGCCTTGATTTCAGAGGGAAGACTTGTTTTTAAAACTTCCTAATGTGCATTTATTAGTGAGAAATCCATCAGAGAGACTGCTAAGATAAAAAAGCCGAACCAGGTTTTGCTTCAACAGAGCATTTTGTTTTGGTTTTGAGTGAGGAAAACTTTTAAGAAATGTTGAACATTGGAAAGTTGAAAAAAACCCCCCCCCCACACACACACACCTTCCCAGCCTGAGGCAGTCTCATAGTACTTCCAAAGGTCAGGCCATGGGTGGTAACCAAGGTCACAGAGTGGCTGAGGGTCAAGGAAGATTCCTCCACCAAAGTCCTTTTCCCATACCTCATCCTGGCACAACCTTGACCTTACATTCACAAAGGCTCAGT